ACCTTACCGCAACCCTACAACTTATCACAGCCCTACACCCCACCACAACCCTACGCATTATGACAGCCATACACCTTATCACAGCCCTACATCTTTCCGCAACCCTACACCTTACCACAAACCTACACCTTACCACAGCCCTACACCTTATTACAGCCCTCCACCCTACCGCAACCGTACACATAATCAAAGCCCTTTTACACCTTATCACATATCTACACCTTACTGCATCCTGCTTCTTATCACAGCCCTACATCCTACCAAAGACATACACCTTACAACAGCCCTACACCTTACCGCAACCCTTCACCTTACCGCAACCCTACACCTTATCACAGCCCTACACCTTACCGCAACCCTACACCTTATTACAGCCCTACACCCCACCACAACCCTACGCATTATCACAGCCATACACCTTATCACAGCCCTACATCTTACCGCAACCCTACACCTTACCACAAACCTACACCTTACCACAGCCCTACACCTTATTACAGCCCTCCACCCTACCGCAACCGTACACATAATCAAAGCCCTTTTACACCTTATCACATATCTACACCTTACTGCATCCTGCTTCTTATCACAGCCCTACATCTTACCGCAACCCTACACCTTACCACAAACCTACATCTTACCACAGCCCTACACCTTATTACAGCCCTACACCTTATCACAGCCCTCCACCCTGCCGCAACCCTACACATAATCAAAGCCCTTTTACACCTAATCACATCCTTACACCTTACTGTATCCTGCGTCTTATCACAGCCCTACATCCTACCAAAGACATACACCTTACAAAAGCCCTACACCTTACCGCAACCCTACACCTCACCGCAAAGCTACACCTTACAACAAATCTACACCTTATCAAAGCCCTACACCTTATCACAGCCCTACAATTTACCATAGCCATGCACCTTACAACAAAACTACACCCTATCACAGCCATACAATTTACCGCAACCCTACACCTTACCGCAACCGTACACCTTATCACAAACCTACACCTTATCAGAGCCCTACACCTTACTACAACTCTTCATTTCACCACAGCCCTACACCTTACCATAGCCCTACATCGCACCACAGCCATACACCTTACGTCAATCCTACACCGTACTTCAGCCTTACTCCTTAACACAGCCTTACATCTTACCACAACCCTACACATTAGCACAGGCCTACATCCCACCAAAGACCTATACCTTATCACAGCCCTACGAATTATAACAGCCCTACACCCTACCGCCACCATACACCTTATAACAGTCCTACACCTTACCGCCACACTACACCTTACCACAGCCCTACCGCAACCCTACACACTATTACAGCCCTGCAACTTATTACAGCCCTACATCTTACCGCAACCCTACACCTTACCACAAACCTACACCTTACCACAAGCCTAAATCTTATTACAGCCCTCCACTCTACCGCAACCCTACACATTATCACAGCCTTTTTACACCTAATCACATCCCTACACCTTACTGCAAACCTACACCTTATCACAGCCCTACATCCTACCAAAGACATACACCTTACCACAGCCTTACAACTTACCGCAACCCTATACCTTACCGCAACCTTACACCTTACCGCAACCCTACACCTTACCACAGCCCTACACCTTAATGCAGCCCCCACCCTACCGCAACCCTACACAATATCACAGCCCTTTTATACCTAATCACATCCCTACACCTTACTGCAACACTACAACTTATCACAGCCCTACATCCTACAACCGACATTCACCTTACCACAAGCCCTACACCTTACCGCAACCCGACACCATACCGCAGCTCTAAATATACACCCTATCACAGCCCTAATCCTTATCACAGCCCTACACCTCAGCACAAACACTACATCTTACTACAACCCTTCACCATACCGCAACCCTACAATTTACCGCAACCCTACACCTTAGCACAAACCTACACCTTAGCACAGCCCTACACCTTACCACAGGCTTACACCTTACCACAACCCTACAACTTACAACAAACCTACACCTAATCAGAGCCCTACACCTTACTACAACTCTTCATTTTACAACAGCCCTATGTCTTACCACATCCCTACATCTCACCGCAGCCATACACCTTACCACAATACTACACCGTACTTCAGCCTTACTCCTTAACACAGCCTTACACCTTACCACAGCCCTAAACATTACAACAGCCCTTCATCTTACCACTACCCTACAACTTACCACTAGCCTTCATCTTATCACACGCTATACCTTACTACTTTTCATCTTACCACAACACTACACCTTACCATAAACCTTAGACTTACCATAGCCCAACAGCTTACCACTACCCTACATCGTAACCACAGACGTACGCCTTACTCTAGCTCTATACCTTACCACAGCCCTACACCTCACCAAAACCCTACACCTTACCCTAGTCCGTCACTTTGCGATAGTCCTACATCTTACCACTACACTACACCTTACTACAGCCCTGCGCCTGACCAGTCATACACTTCACAACAGCCCTACACCTTACTACATCCCTGCACCTTACCACAACCCTACACCTTACTACAGCCTTGCACCTCACCATAGCTCTACATCTTACCACAGTCATAGACCTTACTACAGCCTTGTACCTCACCATAGCCCTACATCTTATCACAGCCCTGCACCTTACCATAGCTCTACATCTTACCACAGCCCTACACCTTACTACAGCCCTGCACCTTACCATAGCTCTACATCCTACCACAGTCCTACATCTTATCACAGCCCTGCACCTTACCACAGCCCTACACCTTACTAAAGCCTTGTACCTCACCATAGCTCTACATCTTATCACAGCCCTACACCTTACTACAGCCCTGCACCTTACCATAGCTCTACATCTTACCACAGCCCTACACTTTATCACAACCATACACTCTACTCTTTACTTAGCGCTAGGTAACATTTACACTATTCATTATACACGTGTTTTACACCTGTATTATGCTTATTTTAGGGTATTTTAATTGGCACTGCAAAATTACAACACTTAAGATTACTTTACAAGGTTTATTTGTTCATACGGTCGGTGAGGCTTAATTGGCACTAAAACTACACAAAACTTCATGGAAAATTCCCTGACAATTTGTACAAGTGCGACACTTCATTATACAGGTAAACATACAAATCGCTCACAAAGATATCATTTGGAAACCGGATAAGGCGGTCTTTTAAAGCTGAGACACGTTTTATATTAACATTGTTTGAGCAAAAAGTTAAACTCGATGCATTATTTCTTCCAAACATAAATATCTTACTGAATATACTAAATCATCTGTTTTCTATGCAGGACTCTCTCTGAGCATAGCCTAACACTTGATTATTCAGTATTTTACCGGTCATATAACCCTACTGTTTCATAATCCCCAACAGTAAACGACACACTTAGAATGTTAAAATGTAGTTATAACGTTGATATTCATGTCTGTTTGTTCAGCTATCTCTATCAGTAAGGTGTCAGGTATAATGAGCATATCCTGTTTCGTAGTCATCAAACCAATACCAGCAATCAGTTCTTCTGTAGATAGTTTTTCACATTCCTAGTTACACAAAATCCTTTACAGTTCTCAAAATAGTCTTTTTTTATATGGACATATAACACTTTGCTTAATTCCAACACATGACATCAGGCTTGATTCTAAAACCTAACACTAAAAATGATTCTAACCTCTAACACCAGGCATGATTCTAGCAGACAACACTAAATATAATTATGGCACACAACATGAGAATGATTATAGCAGACAACACTAGATATAATTCTGGCAGATAACATTAGCATAATTCTAGCAGACAACATTATATATAATTCTGGCAGACAACACTTCGATGATTAAAACAGATAACACTAGATATAATTATGGCAGAAAACACTAGATATAATTCTGGCGGACAACACTACATATAATTCTTACAGACAACATTAGGATGATTCTAGCAGACAATACTATATATAATTCTGGCAGACAACACAAGGATGATTATAGCAGACAACACTAGATATAATTCTGGCAGACAACACTTCATATAATTCTTACAGACAACACTAGGATGATTATAGCAGACAACACTATACATAATTCTGGCAGACAACACAAGGATGATTATAGCAGATAACACTAGGTATCATTCTAGCAGATGACACATTTGTGACAAGATTCTAGCAGATAACACAAATCATGAGTCAAGTAAAACAGCAGGTATGATTCAAGCAGATAATAAAAAGCAGGATTCTTGCATTTATCAATGTTACGGTCTTCACTGTGTTATAGTGAGGGTAACGTGTGGCGTGTTTGTATGGAACATATTGTATCATGTGACGAGGCGCGAGGCACATGTGCTTTACCTGAGATTCAGGTGAGTTGTACAGGTTACAAGCTATGTAAATCATTCAACTTTTCGACAGACGCTATAGTTTGATATCCCACTCCCCAAGAATTGATTTTGGAATAGAAGTTGTTCCTGTTTTATTTTCTTTGTTACAGGTGTATAAGCTGGGTAAGGATCCGGTGGTTTTGTCAACATATCCGGGAAGAAATATGGACACTAGAACGGTTACGCTTTAGCGTTTGTTTTTACGGATTGGATTATGTGCTGCACGCGTCAATGGATTGCAAAATTGAGTGCCCAATATAGCGCTAGCTACAGTAAACTATATTCTGAACACAGTGTGTTGAGTTATATTTGATCAATAATTTATGTTCGTTTGGTTTGGTGAATTATAAAATAGTATCACATAACACATGGTACAAATGTATGATTCTAGCAGATAACACCAGGATTAGGTATGATGTAGCAGATAACACAAAGCTGGATTCTAGCAGATAACATAACACATCATTTTAGCAGATAACACTAGGAATAATTCTAGCAGATTTCACTAAACCAGATTCTAGTAGATAACACTAGGTTGATTCTAGCAGACAACTTCAGATTTAGTTGTAGCCCAAACAAAAACATAAACAGAGTCACTCATCATGTTATGTCATTGCATTGGTGTTTCCATCTCAATAGCACCAGCTTGGTGACGATGACCTCGATTTGGCGATATCATCTCTACTCTCCGTTTTTCCTATGAAAATAAAAAATGACTAGTTTAAAAGCAGTTTAAAACTTTAAACATATATTTTCCCATTCAATATGATTAAAAAGTTTTGTCTAGAATTTCTATATATATTTATTGTTTTAAAAGAAGATTATATAGGGAAACATCTTGAATTTTTCAATGTTAACTTTTTCTAACAATGGTTTACATTACGTAGCAGTAAATTAGGCGAACGATATTTGGGATATGCCATTGGCTAAAATTGGCATTCATTTATTCACCTTTAAGACACATTTGAACATTTCTAATTCAAATGTTGGATAAGTTCATTATAAAATTTCAGCGGTGAATGGGTTAACGAACATTAAATTTCAATCTAGTCTCAAGGAACATAAAAACTTTATTTTCTTTCTAGTTTCACCTTTGGACGTAGGGCAGTGTTACGTTAGAAACTTTTAGGTTGTTACAGTGAATAGGGAACATATCTATGGTTATCAATACTTACTCTTTGTCGCTTCCGCCATATAGCTGTGGCAGTGTACAAGAACGGATTGATAGCAGCGTTAACTGGCAGCACGAATACCATTATCCAGGCATATGCGTCATCTGGGATGTTGTATCCAGATTTAGACAATACACCTGCAAAATACCAGATTTAAACATTAATAATGCTTCGATAAAGTATGGTTAGAAAAGCTGTCGTAGACAATGACATTCCGTTGTGATTTATGTCACGTGATAGGTACGAAACTAAATAAACACTCCTACAGTTCAGGAGAAATATTTCCTGTTTGTTATATAACATAACACTTGGTATCATCCAGTTATTAAATCTATACCCATCACAAAATCTTCATAATCAATAATATTATGCTGGGGTAGACACGCAAAACTAAAGATTCATAGTAAGATGCATTGTTATGAATAAAGAGTCACGTGGTAAATACAGTATTAATGATCACTCCTAGTGTCCGCATTAATAATTCGTTATGTTATGTAATCGAAGAATAACTAACATATTGTTGCATCTGTTATCATATCTACACATGTTACATACCCATGACACCGATAGGAAACCAGCAGCAAAAGTCTGTAGCCACCACCATGAAGAGGGTCCTTGCGACAGACATATCTCGTTGACGAGTCTGTGATGAGATCATGCGGCCGCCACTTGTGATAATACTTTTAAAAATGCAGATTTGACCTATGACTATAACGACGAAGATGATACAGTTCAGGCAAACAAAGAGTGCAAAGGAATACTCCGCACCTGGTCGCTTGTCGCTTGTCAGTGGTAAGGCGAGACACACTCCGGATTGAGAGTAATATTCCCCTTTGAAGTAGGACTGCAGAGCAACAATAGGGATGATTGCAAGAGTAATGGAAACAAACCACAAGGACACAGAGATAATGGTAGCTTGTTTCCACGAAATACTCCATCGCGAAAGACGGGACATGGGGAACGCTATCACAATAGCTCTGTCTATTGTCACCAGTAGAATCAGGAACGTGGACATCTCACTAGATATAGTGGACAAAATTCCAGCTGTGGTACAGACAATACTTCTTCTCCATTTCCTGTCATTCCATGCGTACAGACCGTTGTAATATACATCAGCAACGCCTATTATCAGTAGGTAGACACCCATGAGAAAATCGGATACACACAAGTTCAGTACAAAAAGTGAATAACTCTGTGTAATGTTATCTCTGTCGAGGAATAGTCGGTAGAAGAAAACGATAACATTTCCAACTAAGGCACAAACCCCAATTATCCAAAGGCAAGCTCTTTGTATAACTGAACCTATCAAGGCATCACAGGATGATATCGCATCAACTTCTGATGTGCATGACGTATGCCTTCTAAAGCAATAACTTAACGTATCAATGTCAGATACCGTTGTTTGTACACATCTGTCTTCGGAAACTGACTTCGGTTTAACACAACACATAAACGGAGTATCAGTCAGTAAAGTTGTGAGATTATTCAGACCTTCAAACATATATTTCTTAACTTCCAGATCATTACCTATGACACTTAACAATGACATGTGACTGTTTTTGATCAATAATCCATTATGTAGATTTGTTAAAGAGTTGTATGATATATCAAGCACTTGAACAGAGATAGGCAAAGAAGGTAAAACCGAGAGCCTATTACCGTTTAACAGGATTGTCGAAATTACAAGCAGACTACTAAACACATCATCGGGGAGAGCAACTATCTGATTTTGTCCAAGATGCAGTTCACTAAGTGCAGAAAGTCCCTTGAACATATTTTCTGGTATGAATGTTATCTGATTTTCGATAAGAGACAGAACGTTAAGTGCAGAGAGTCCGTTGAACACATCATCGGGGAGAGCAACTATCTGATTTCGTCCCAGATCCAGTCCAGTAAGTGCAGAAAGTCCGTTGAACACATTTTCTGGTAGGAATGTTATCTGATTTTCGTTAAGAAACAGAACATTTAGTGCAGAAAGTCCGTTAAACACATCATCGGGGAGAGCAACTATCTGATTTCTTCCCAGATCCAGATTAGTAAGTGCAGAAAGTCCGTTAAACACATCATCGGGGAGAGCAACTATCTGATTTTGTCCCAGATCCAGGTAGGTAAGTGCAGAAAGTCCGTTAAACACATCATCAGGAACAGCAACTATCTGATTTCGTTCCAGGTACAGATCAGTTAGTGCAGAAAGTCCGTTAAACACATCATCAGGGAGAGCAACTATCTGATTTCGTGCCAGATACAGATCGGTAAGTGCAGAAAGTCCGTTAAACACCTCATCAGGGAGAGCAACTATCTGATTTCGTCCCAGATTCAGATGAGTAAGTGCAGAAAGTCCATTAAACACATCATCGGAGAGAGCAACTATCTGATTTCGTTCCAGATACAGTTCAGTAAGTGCATAAAGTCCGTTAAACACATCATCGGGGAGAGCAACTATCTGATTTCTTCCCAGATCCAGATTAGTAAGTGCAGAAAGTCCGTTAAACACATCAGCGGGGAGAGCAACTATCTGATTTTGTCCCAGATCTAGGCAGGTAAGTGCAAAAAGTCCGTTAAACACATCATCAGGGAGAGCACCTATCTGATTTCGTTCCAGATACAGATTGGTAAGTGCAGAAAGTCCGTTAAACACATCATCAGGGGGAGCAACTATCTGATTTCGTCCCAGATCCAGATTGGTAAGTGCAGAAAGTCCGTTAAACACATCATCGGAGAGAGCAACTATCTGATTTCTTTCCAGATACAGTTCAGTAAGTGCAGAAACTCCGTTAAACACATCATCGGAGAGAGCAACTATCGGATTTCGTTCCAGATACAGTTCAGTAAGTGCATAAAGTCCGTTAAACACATCATCGGGGAGAGCAACTGTCTGATTTCGTTCCAGATACAGTTCAGTAAGTGCATAAAGTCCGTTAAACACATCATCGGGGAGAGCAACTGTCTGATTTCGTTCCAGATACAGTTCAGTAAGTGCATAAAGTCCGTTAAACACATCATCGGGGAGAGCAACTATCTGATTTCGTTCCAGATACAGTTCGGTAAGTGCAGAAAGTCCGTTAAACACATCATCGGAGAGAGCAACTATCGGATTTCGTTCCAGATACAGTTCAGTAAGTGCAGAAACTCCGTTAAACACATCATCGGAGAGAGCAACTATCGGATTTCGTTCCAGATACAGTTCAGTAAGTGCAGAAACTCCGTTAAACACATCATCGGAGAGAGCAACTATCTGATTTCTTTCCAGATACAGTTCAGTAAGTGCAGAAAGTCCGTTAAACACATCATCGGGGAGAGCAACTATCTGATTTAGTCCCAGATCAAGATAGGTAAGTGCAGAAAGTCCGTTAAAAACATTTTCTGGTAGGAATATTATCTGATTTTGGAACAGATCAAGCTCTGTAAGTAAAGACATTTCTCTAAACACATCACCAAGTATATCTTTTATCTGATTGTGGCTCAGATCCAGATCAATAAGATGAAAAAGTCCGTTAAACACGTTATTCGAAAGATGATTTATCATGAGAAAGGATAAATTCAATGACACAAGACTGGACATGTCTCTAAAAATATCATCAGTAAGTAAGCTTATCTTGTTATTTGATACATCTAGTGATTTAAGGTTATAAAATCCTCTGATGAAACTCTCGGGCAGAGTGTGTACCTCTGCTATTTTCAGGTAACTTAGGTATGATAGATGGAAAACACCTACAGACTGTGGATCGTTCTGATTGGTGACAATGGACATGTTGTTGAAATGAAAACCGGAAATATCGAGGTTAGTGTCTCTGTAGTTGACCATTACCCCAATACACATACAAGACGGCCAGCACGGCTGGACACAGGTAAACTCATCATCCGAATCAGGACACTGGTCTATGGTGTCACAAACTTCTTCTATAGGGATAGTGAATTCATTGGCAGATGAACAGTGGTGGGTACCGGTACAGTTGTATAGTTCTAGAATAACATAAGATAACTGGACAATTCTTGATTTGATTGTGACATTTTTATAAATGGTAATATTTGTCGTGATCGAAATAATATACAAAATATTATCCATTACTTTTGATACAAATTTAGCCAATACGATTGAATATTTTCATCACTTTCTCGCTGTAACTGTTAAGTTAAAAGAGTATAATTAATCTTCCTTATTTATGATGTATATGTTGTATTTCTATAGGAAAATTGACGTTCGTGAAATAAACATGTACTCACCACAGAAAACAGCTCCTGTATTCGTTTCTGGACATTGCATGTTACACCTGTAACTAACGTGCTGACAGAAAGTTTCCGGGCACTTGGCCAACTCATCGCGAGAACGAGGAGAACGAGTCCCTCTTCCTGATGAAATAGGTGAAATAACAAGGCTTTGTAGTACTGTGTCCATATGTATCTCTAGAAATGGTATTTCATTTTATTTTGTCTTAAAAGTTTGCTATTTAAATATGAGTACAGACGATTTTTCAATAATGTGTACCCTCAGGTATTCATAAGCAGGTAGGGTTGTAAAACTTTTGAATTACTGGAAGAATTGTGATAAAAATGTCAACCTGACATTAAACACTCACCTGATAATAAGACAGTAAATACCTTAACATGGTATAAAACCTGACTGCTACCTTCATGTTCTGGATTTGTATCCATATCGTTACATCAAATAGTATCAGTGAGAGAATTAATAAAAAAATTGGTGTTTTGAATAATAGACTGCATTGTAATAAACACATATGACATATAACAGGCTTCCATAATGGTAGAAAATAATATAAACAAATAAAAACGAAAAATTCGCTAAGAAATGTTTTTTTTTTAAAAATTTGTGGAATAACAATAATATAATAATATGATATAAGAATAAGCATAGAGGTATACAAACAAAGATACGGGGAGACAGTTCTTAAGGACTACCAGTTTTAATATATATATATATATATATGACTACCCTGCGTAAATGACCTTTATAATATTGTGTAGGATAATAACTGAACCTTTGGAACTCCTGTATGTACACCATTAAACTGTGAATCGTAACCTTCAGTATTTACTCTTTACATTATATCTGATCAATATTTGTTAAACCAATGAAACAAGTTCCTCTGTCTGTCTGTCTGTCGTCCGCAAAATCTTGTCCTGGAAACAGCTCCTACACTGGTGCGAAATTTTAATTACCCCTTACTGTTGTACATCCAGGTATTATTACTCATCTCTGACTCCTGTTTTACGGGGTTATGGCTTTTGCTGAAAAAGGCTTTTCCGGACAGCTCTTCACAAAGTACTAGGCCGATTTCAGCGAAACTTAACATATTTGATAACTATCCCCTGTCGTCAGGTAGTTGTGTATATCCTATTTTTTATTTCGTTATTTCGAGATATGGCGGTTTATGGGAAATATTTAAGTTTGTCTTCGTCCAAACAACGCCTCGTACAATTACGGACTCAATTAGTGATGTATACTATATCTATTATGATGTGTTGTAGTCCTATCATAGGACAATTATTATTATTATAAGGTATCAGTATCAATACGTATCTCTGGTAAGTGAATCATCTAACTTATCCCAGTATTCAATATTATTATAAGGTATCAGTAGCTCTGGTAAGTATATCATCTAACTTATCCAAGTATTTAATATTATTATAAGGTATCAGTATCTCTGGTAAGAGAATCATCTTATTTATCCAAGTATTCAATATTATTATAAGGTGTCATTATCTCTGGTAAGTGAATCATCTAACTTATCCCAGAATATATCTGTCAGGTCTAAAGATACCACTGAGACGAAATTGATGATTTTTCAATAGTAGCTTCCAACCTTAGCAATTCGACATCATCCCTTTCCACATCTTGCCAGTATCATTTACCGTAGGGTTTAAGTTAGATTCAGTTATACTGATTATATCATGATCTTCAAGTTCAGCTTCAAAGTCAGTTTTGTTTCTAATATTCTTCTTCTACAAAGTAATTGTCCCTTCAGAAAATAAATCAATGATCTTTTGACGTATTGTATGACATGGAAAGAATTTGTCATTGCAACATTTTTAAATACAATGTCTGTAATAAACATTATTATTTTTATTTATGAAATAGTCAACGCGTTCATTTGCAAAGTTCATATTCGGATAAGAAATAGAGTTATAAAAGACTTTTGTCATATTCCAGTTCATGGGTTCAATTGAAGATGTGATCATTTGAAAACAGTATTCAACAAACTTGTTTTTCAGTTCTGGCGATCCATTTTCAACCAAATTTGGTACAAATATTCGTTTGGTTTTATTTTGGAACTTACGTTATTATTGCAGCGAAACTTATTCCACGATGGCCGCCACGAGCGTTGATGACTTACTTCAGCAATGTGTATCTTTGTAAATGATATAGAGATGGGGAAAAGATAACTCACCCCACAAATGTTTCATGAATATGTCATCTTCAAATTAAGGTTTAAACAAAATGTAAACTTTTGATTGTGAAAAGCCCATTAAATTACATATGAAAATCTTTCTGAAAAAAAACCCTCTAGAACTTGATGCATTTCATAATTAACAGTATTAAGTATAACGATAATACAACATGTATGTACATCATAATATATAACCTAAAAATGCGCTTTACAGTACATTACTATATATGTTCTGGAGTTACACATTAATAAAATATATGATCAGTCGTAATTTTTATAAACTCGCAGTCTTTACACTGTTCCAACGAAGTATTACGTATGGCAATATATTGGAAGCAATTTTAAATATATCGTAAAAAGCAAGCAAGAAAACAAAAACAAGTTAAACAAATTCTTTAAACAATTAAATTAAAGTTTCTTTTCCCAAAAACAACACAATGATGCAAAATAAAGCTTGAACACGTAACCAATTCAAATAGAACAAGAACGGACTGTCGAGTAATTAAAGAAATAAGTGCCGGGTTAAATGAAATGAAAACGTGACAATATGTTGTTTTATAAAAAAGACAAATATAAAAGGAGAACCTACTTTGCGGACATTCCATTTCAGTGTTTGGCTCAGCTTCCCACAGAGACCGTGTCCTCTTGGTATTCTTAAAGGGTTCAAAAGGAGAAGAGGAACTAACACCTCCTTTTTCCCATTGACCACTCTTAATAGCGAAATTATCCGATCTTCCCAATTGTTTCTTTGGAAATGCACCAGGATGGAGGGCACAAATCATTACAATAAAGAAAAAGAACGGTGAAAAAAGTTTACAAATATCCATGGTGATTAAACTTACAAGTAATGTCGAGTGTGAGTTGATATACTAGTATCAACGTAGATATGAACAATATATTATAAGTTACCGAGACTATACATCTAAGTGACCTTTGTAAAGTGTCACAGCGCAACTGTCCGTGTGCTTCGCTCCAGTGAAACTGTCCTCGTGCTTCGCTCCAGTGAAACTGTCCTCGTGCTTCGCTCCAGTGAAACTGTCCGTGTGCTTCGCTTGAGCGCAACTGTCCGTGTGTTATGAACAACGTCACTTTTATTTGAATGTCAGCTTGCGAATCAATCGAACACAGGGATGAGACATACTAAATGTCAATAACAAAACATGATATTTTCCAACATTAGTTATCATTTTGCTAATTTTTCATAAACTAATCTAAACGACTTCCATCCTCCATCGAAACGGATCTTCCACACACCAAATATTTCCTTACAATAGTCTATATGAAAGTATGTAGATTAAACAGGCTCAGTAGAGTGTTTAAAGAAGTCAGATGTGCGTATGACAAGCTAGACTGACCATACGCCAAGAGAGACCAAGTCGTAAAGACTAGTATTTAAAGGAAATATTTGGTGTTAGGCAAGGAAATGCACTTAAGTCCTCGTATTCCAAAACACAGGAAAATGTGTTTATAAGCATTGTGGGATAAGGATGAAACTTTCACAAATTAAATATCATCATACTTTATATAATAATTTAATCATTTTACAGTAGTTGTGATGGCAAATGCAATTTTTTATTTGTAAGTTAACTTTGATAAGTAAGAAAACAAATCAGGACCTGGAACTCACTTTAGCCACAGATGTTGAGCAAATATTATATGATATATATTATATACAATATCAACTTTTAAGATCATATACTTATGGCATATAAAGGGTGTCCTGCACCTTTTAATTCACTTATAATTGAGATATATTTGAAATAGCCTAATTTGAGATGTGTCCAGAAGCGATAACTCAGTATAAAACAAAAGGAAAGTGCGTAGTGAATATGCATTATATGTAAATATCCTCAAATGAGTAAAGTTGTAAATTCAACACAAAATATAAATTAGAAAGGAAAATATTGAGAAAACAGAATACGTTTCACTTGAAAATTACCTAAAACAATCCCATGACGTAATCCTCCGTTTTATGTAAATGATATTTACGTGACAATTTAATTTCTTTCAT